TGTCATAAAAGTAACAAATTTTAGGCTAGGTGTGGTGGCTCATGCCAGTAATCTTAGTAGCATTTTGGGAGGCTTAGGAGGGAGGGTCATTCACTTGAGCCTGGGAGGCTGAGGCTGCAGTGAACGGAGATTGTGCCACTGGACTCCAGCCCTGAGGGTTAGGCTAAGCCTTTGTCTCAAAAAAAAGGAACAACTAACAAAAAAGGTGGCTCAACAAATAAGATGAAATGCCATATGCAGCCATTACACATAATATTTGTAATCCCAGCACTCTGGGAAGCTGAAGCAGAAATAGGAATTTGAGAGACCAGGCTGGGCAACATGGCGAAACCCCATCTCTACTAAAAATACAAAAAATTAGCTGGTGTGGTGGCATGCGCCTGTAGTCCCAGCTGCTCAGGAGGCCAAAGCATGAGAATTGCTTGAACCCCGGGGGCAGAGGTTGCAGTGAGCCGAGCTCATGCCACTGCACTCCAGCCTGGGCAGCAGAGTGAGATTCTGTCTCAAAAACAAAAACCAAAAAATAATGGTTATTACTGGGAGAGGACTGGGGAAAAATTAGGATCTTATATTCTGTACTGCCTGATTTTTTTTTTTTTTAACATCAAGTTTGTATGGTGTGAAAAAAAAAAAAAAAAAAAAAAAATCAGTGTCCCTAGTAGTATGCTAACAAATGCTTCAGTGGGTAAATTGAGGACATTATTTTATCTATATTCACACTGCACCCTCTGGTGGTTCCACAAAGAAAAGGCTCTAAGTAGACACCTACCTAGGGTTTATTGATATCCCTTGTCCATTTTTGTTGCTGTTTTTGAATTGGACACATTTTTCCCAGATTTGTAATACTTCTTTGTATATTAAGGAAATTAATCCTTATGGAAGAAAAACTTGAAAAAATTATATAAATTAAATGATTACTTTTTATTTTGAAGAAAGATAACTATTTGATCTTTTTTAGCATTTAATAGCAGCAGCTAAATACCAAACTGCAGGGTACCCCAGTCCCATCCTCCCCTCCCCCCATTCTACACCTGGCTTGCTTTCTGTGTCCTGACCAAAAATCACAGAGTGCTTTGACTGTTCTGTGAGCCAGCCCAGTGCAGGGCTTTTCCACTGGGCTTGAACTCAAACCAGGCACTGATAAGGGCATCTAGGTTGCTACTCAAAACAATGAAAGAAGCTGGCCTCAACCCTGAGCCAGATTCCTTAAACCCTCATATAAACTCCATACCCAGACTCCCTACTGTGGATATACCTAGGTAGAACACCCCTTTCCTCTTGCTGGCCATTGCAAGGACTGGTGCAATACTCTACAAGTTCCCTTATTAAATGCTTTAGACTGGTTGTTCTATTTGGTGGTTTTTTTCTTTAGAATCCCAAGTGACCTCAATTTGGGACAGTTTGGGATGCTCCCTTGTGGAGACTCACCTGCCTCCACTTTTAGGTTGACTCTAGCCACAGGTTTGGAGGGATAAAACGTAGACTTCTGAATAAACAATGTTCCCTATGAATATTTGAAAACCAACTGAATTGGAAAATATGGAACTAGGACTAGATCACGCATAAGCCTTCAATGAGAAGGCCTCTCATAAACTGATCCTAACATAATGGCAAGTCCATTTTTGTCTTTTTAAATTTAATTTCTCATTTTTCTTTGAGACAGTATTGTTCAGGCTAGAATGCAGTGGCATGATCACAGCTCACGGCAGTCTCAACCTCTTGAACTCAAGCAATCCTCCCATCTCAGCCTCCAAATAGCTGGGACTACAGGCATGTGCTACTATCCCCAGCTAATATTTTAAATTTTTTATAGAGATGGGTGTCCCTGTGTTGCTTAGGCTGGTCTCAAATTCCTGGGCTCAAGCAATCATCCAGTTTCAGCCTCCCTAAGTGCTGGGATTACAAGTATGAGCCACAATGCCCAGTCTAAATTTAATTTCTTAAAGTAATACATTACAAGCAATTTGGAAAGAAGAGGGGAAATCACTCATCACTTTTCATCCAATAAAATTACTGCTAATATGTAGTCTATTTCCTTCTAATTAAAAAAATATATTTTAAGATTCCTTTGTAGTTCGTAAGTATAAATTTGGTTTTCACACAGGATACATATAATTTTTAAATAATTGTTATAATAACATAAAATCCTTGCTTCCTTTCTGCAGAGATAGTATAGCACACTATACTATCTCATGGTATAGTATTTAAATGAATGGGCTCTGACTTAGTTCAAATCCTGCTTCTCCCCTACTTAATAAAAGTTCATATGACTGGGAAAATTACTTATCTTTCTAATCATAGAGGTTTTTTTGTATAATGGGAATGATTATAATGCTATCAATCTCATAAGAAAACTGAAAATTAAATGAGATAAGCACACAATCAGTGCTCATAGATGTCTACATTTAATTGAATATCAATGAAGTTTATGAATTCATTACCTTTTGGATAATTCTTTTTTGTGTTCTGCTGCTAGTTCACTGTTTTCCCTAAGGGTCTTTATTTCATTTGCTGTTACTTTGTCATGCTGTGGATAGAAAAATAAGTCACATTTTAAAAAATTATCATACCAATGATCCAATCAGTAATTTTTTAAAAAAGGAAAAATAAACTGTCAATATATATATCAAAAGCCATAAAAATATTTATATATTTAGGTCCACTCAATCTAGCTTTGGGGAAAAAAATTATAAAATTTTATCCACACACATATATAATTATGCTATATATATTTTAGAGATACATAAAGAAGACCAGAATTTAAAATATACCAGCTGTGGTTGTGTCAGATAAGTAAAACTTGGATTGATTTTATTCTCCTTTCAATTATTGAAATTTTCTCTAATGTGGTTATATTATTTTTTATTCATAAAAATAAGGAAACAAAAAAACTTGCCACTAATTTAAACTTTCTTAAAATCCTTGACTTAAGGATTCCTGGGCTTCTTGTGAGCTACATATCAAAAAGATAAAGTAAGCTAAACAAATTATATTTCTCCTTCAAAAGGATAGTGAAGTATTTAGCTGTAAAGACATACAAGAACTAAATGTATGTTAAGCTTTTTCTAAATATTTTGCGAAAGCAACTTAGATACTGGTCCATGTCACATCATCTATTTATTTTATATACCATTAAAAAGTTTCTATATTTAAATAAAAACTTAAAGTCACTCCAAACAATAATAATGCTCCCCAGGTTTACCCTTATTATTGCCATTCAATAATATATATAATAAAATCTTCCACTTATATATGCTATGGTTACATTATCATAATTGGCTAATATTCATATCATCCAATATTTTGAAAGAATTGAGAAACTTTTATCATGTAATAATATAACTTCTAGAGTCAACACCAATACAAGCATGTTCTAGTAATTTTTTAGTAGAAAAATCATTGGATTGGGTTACAGCTGAGAAAATTTGGCTCTACTTTGCTAACATCTGGCTATATGAACTAAAACAGGTCTTTATATTCTCTTTACCTTAGTTTTCTCATGTACAAAGCTAAATGATGAAATTAGTGACCTTTAAACTCTGAAGTTCTGGTATAGTCAATAGTTACCATCATATAATAACCATTGCATTACTGCTCACATTCCTGGAAACACTGTGAAAAGTCAAGGATTAGATATTTCAGTCCTTAGTACAGCATACTATTAACTCCTAGACAAAAAAACTGAAAAAACTAGTATTTTCAGATGATGATGCTTCAGGAAAAAAAAACAAATTAATGAAAGAAATACAAAATATATAAGTTAATAGCCTGACTTTGGACAGGCTATCTGTAAAGATTTTCTATATGATATTGGCTGTGGGTTTAAAGTTAAAAAAAAATTGTTTTAATAGAATAAAAGACTTTCTCCCTAACTCTTTATTGTGAAAAATTTCAAACTTACCAAAAAGTTAAAGAATAATACAATAAATACCATATACCTTTCACCCAGATTCACAAAGTGTTAACATTTCCGACACCTTGAGTGCCTCTTCTCTCTTTTTATTTTTGTGGAACCACTTGAAAACATTTGTAGATGTGACTATTTCCACTCTTTTTTATTTGTTTGTTTGAAGAGATGGGGTTTCACCATGTTGGCCAGGCTGGTATTAAACCCCTGACTTCAAGTGATCCGCCCACCTTGGCCTCCCAAAGTGCTGGGATTACAGGCATGAGCCAGCGCACCTGGCTGACATTTCCACTCTTTAACACCTGGCATGTGTTTTCTAAAAATATACATTATTTTATCTTTACAACACTACTATCACAGTTAAGAAAATAAAATGTAATACAGTATCACCTATTATACAGTTCATTGTTAAATTTTCCCAATTGCTTTCAAACTGCCTTTTATATCTCTTTTTGTTAAAAAAAAAATACAGAATCCAATCATAGTTTATACATCACATTTGGTTGTCTCTTAATCTAGAACGGTCCTATTGCCTTTTTTGTGTTTTATGACATTGATGTTAATGTCCAGGTCAGTTAATTGTCTTGTGGTATGGTCCACATTCTGGATTTGCCTGATTCTTAACTCATAATTAAATTCAGGTTAAATGTATTGAACAAGAATACTACAGAGATAATGTTGTGTATTTATTATATCATATCAGACTGAACACAATGAAAGATTGCTCCAATATTGGTGACGCTGAGTTTGCTAAGTTAAAGTAGTACCTGCCAGATCTCTCCATTGTAAAGATACATTGTTTAACTTTGTAACTAATAATCAGTCTGTGGGTGATAATTTGAGATCACGTGTTTAGAATTCATTAATGACCCTCATCTAAATCAATTATTATACTGAGGGTTTTAAAAATGAAGATTTCCTATTTTATCTTTCTTTTTATATTTACTAGCTGCTATTTTGTAAAGGAAAATTTTCTTTATCCCATCCTTTTCTTCCTTATTTTCTTCCTTCTTTCCCTTCTTTCTGTCCTTCCTTTTTTCCTTATGTCTGCTTTTAGAGTATTATACACACACACACACACACACACACACACACACACAGAGAATGCTTCACAAATTTGCATGTCATCCTTGCACAGGGGCCATGCTAATCTCTGTATTGTTCCAATTTTAGTATACGTGCTGCCGAAGCAAGAACATGGATTATTTTTACCTAACATATTACAATTCATTATTGTCATTATTTGTTTTAATGCTCAAATGTTCCCAAATTTGGCTATTACATAAAGATTTTGAAGTTTAAGTCAAAAGTATAAGTAAATCTAAGGCAGGGTGGCAAAAGCTACAAAACAACGATTTTTCCAGTATTGTACACTTGGTTTTTGTGGGGTAGTAGGGGAGGGAATCAGGCAACTCCCTGAACCAGAATAGGTTCAGACAGACTCTTGTACACATTTATTGAGAGATGTTATTCAAAACATTGAACTAATGGCACATCACAGGAAGTAACCAATCAGAATCTACACTGGCAGTAAAGAACTGGTAAATACTATGCACCTATTACTCTCTTAATATTACTAACAGAAACAAATTTTCAGGTTTCTTATAGGAATAATTATATTTATGCAAAAATATCTCAATTTTACTAATGTCCTACTATAAAACAATGTCAAACCAAACAATATTCAGTAACAGCATGCCCTTTATATTTCTTAATTTGGGCAGTGGTTCATGCCTGTAATCCCAGCACTTTGGGAGGTAGATCACTTGATGCCAGGAGTTTGAGACCAGCCTGGCCAACATGGTAAAACCCGGTCTTTACTAAAAATACAAAAATTAGCTGGGCACACAGCTGTAATCCCAGCTAGTCTGGAGGCTGCGGCAGGAGAATCGCTTGAATCTGGAAGACACAGGTTGCAGTTAGCCGAGATGGCGCCTCTCCACTCCAGCCTGGGTGACAGAGTGAGACTCTGTCTCAAAACAAATGGATAAATTTCTTAATCTAACTCATTGGTGCTAACATGTCACAAGCAAACATTTTAAAGATAACTTTGCTTTCAGAAAATTTTGAAAGTGTAGATTCTAATCAATTACCTTAATTTACTCTTACCTTTTCTATCGGAAAATGTTGGTCTTGTTCCCAAATAAAACTACCGATTTTTCTTCTTATTTCTGTGGTGAGAAAAATGAATTCAATACTGTTTTTTTAATTACAGAATCTTCTGAATTTTGCTTAAACTCTGAAATTTCTAGGTCAGTGTTACTCTATTTGCAACAAAATCACCTAACACACTTATTAAAATGCAAATTCTAATTGAATCAGATAATTGAGGAGGAGCTCTGGAATTTGCTTTTCTAACAAACTCACCAGATGATTCTAATACACTTTGCTAATCATTGTAGACTTTTTCTGCTAGAATATATCTATATCTATATTTGTATCTATATATAGAGGTGTGTATATATATATGTATTTATATCACTGAGATATGTTCATCCACCCTTCTTTTATATATATATCTATATTTATATCTATATATACATTAGATATACATCTATATCTATATCTGTATCATTACATATACATCTGCACATATTTGTCTCTATATAATAATGCATATATATCTATTTAATGCATTAGCTATATATTAGACATATATCTAATTCACATCTAATGTCTATATAGATATAGATACAGATATATAGATATAGCTATAGATATAGGTATTAAAGAAAGGTAGATGAACAATATCTCTAGTAAACATGGTAGCACAGGAATTCTCCAATGGTCAGCATGTCAAAGGAATATGTCATCATCCTAACTCAGTGATCGCAAAAGTTTTCACAGTAGCCAAAAATGGTAATATTACTCTAGACTTTTTGCTGTCCAACATGGCAGCCACTAGCTACATGTAGGTACTGAGCGCCGGAAGTGTGTGGTTAATCCAAATTGAGATATGCTGTAAGTATAAAATAAATGCAGGATTTTGAAGACTTCGTAACAAAAAAAAGAATGTAGAGTATCTCAATTTTTATAGATTATATATTGAAATGATAATATTTTAGATAGATTCGGTTAAATAAAATATGTTTCTAAAATTAATTCTACTCACTCAATTATTTTTTTTTTTTTTTGAGATGGAGTCTCGCTTTGTCACCAGGCTGCAGTGCAGTAGCACAACCTAGGCTCACTGCAATCTCTGCCTCCCGAGTTCAAGCAATTCTCCTGCCTCAGCCATCAGAGTAGCTGGGATTATAGGCGTGAGCCACTGCACCTGGCCAATTAATTAATTTTTTTAGAGAAGCGGGTTTCACTATGTTGCCCAGACTAGAATGCAGTGGCTATTCACAAAGGTGACCATGGTGCACTGCAGCCTCAAACTCCCAGGCTCTAGGGATCCTCCCGCCTCAGCCTCTAGAGTATATGGGATTACAGGTATATGGGATTATGGCATGCCACTTTACCCAGCTATTTTTTATTCTTATTAATGTGGCTACTAGAAAATTTAAAATTCATATATAGCAAATATTTGCATCTCACACTTCTAGACAATACTGCTCTAGGCACATTTTTTAAAATGTATACTTTGAAATTTTTAAAGAAGCATGTTTTCATTTAAAACAGATTTTTGAAATTTTAAATACGTCTTAATATAAGATGCTAAACTCAAAGACAGAATAGGACTGATAATTTAAGATTATATAATAGGAGTAATAAATTAAATCACAGCCGTTCTACAATATAAGCTCCTTGAAACTGGGTCACTGATTGGCACATGCAGTTTTTTTAAATCAATTCCCCATCCAGTCATTAATTGATTTGTGTAACCACTTAGAACAATTTAATGTTATTAGTTATCAGTAGGTTCCACCAGGACATTGCCTATGGAAGGAACGAAATCTCTGGGATCTCTAATGGCTCCTTTTTAGAAATAATTTTTAAATTGTTTGTTTTCTTTTCTTTTTAATACTCTCTTCATTGGGAATCTGTACTCAGGTGCAGTCTGGCTTTCTGGAGATAAACACCTATCTACTGGGTAGACAAGCTATATATCAAGAATTGGGTAATAATACAAAACCTACCAATGGGGTATTTAAAGTTAGCCCAGGCCAAGTGTGGTGGCTCACACCTATATTCCCAGCACTTTGGGAGGCCAAGGTGGGTGGATTGCCTGAGGTCAGGAATTCAAGACCAGCTTGGCCAACATGGTGAAACCCCATCTCTACTAAAAGTGTAAAAATTAACTGGGTGTGGTGGTGGGCGCCTGCAGTCCCAGCTACTCAGGAGGCTGAGGCAGGAGAATCACCTGAACCCAGGAGGCAGATGTTGCAGTGGGCTGAGATCACACCACTGCATTCCAGCTTGGATAACAAAGCAAGATTCCACCTTAAATAAATAATAAAGTTAGCCCAGAAAAAATAGCAGGATTTGGATAGATGAACAGGATAAGAAACGGTGTTCCAAGCAGGGAAAACTAAAAGAACCAATCTCAGAAGCAGTTTATTTACTTCCCCATCCTATTTCCCAGGGCTGCTGAAAAAATTAATGTGAAAATATTTTCAAATGTATTTTTAAAAAATACAAATATATGGGCTTATTATCATAACCAATCTTTAAAGATCAGAAAAAAAATTAGAAAAATAATGAAGAGATTCAAAACTAGCAAAGAACACATTTATTAAATGCTCACCACATCAGACACCTTAATACATTATATTTTTTTAAAAAATAATTTGAAATTATTAAAATAGAGACAGGGTCTCACCATGTTGCCCTGTTGCCGAGGCTAGTCTTGAACTCCTGGGCTCAAGTGATCTGCCCCTCTCAGCTTCCCAAAGTGCTGGGATTACAGGCATGCCCCACTGCGCCCAGCCCATTATCTCATTTTATCCTCAAAACAACTTCAGAGAAGTAACTTGCTAAAAGATGGCAAAACTAGTAAGCATTGGATCCTAGCTTGTGAAAGCAAGATTTGTATCTGTCTTATTCTCCACTGAATCCACAGCACCTACCCAGGTTGAAACCTGACACACAGGAAGAGCTCAATGAGTGTATGCATAAACAATACATAACATCAGAATATACATCCAAAGGCAATTTGATCCAAAGTCCATACTTTTTCCACTTAGGTTAAATAGATACAAAACTCAAAAATATGCGATTAAACAAAATAAAGTTGAATTTGGCTGTGTAACAGAGATTAGCTGGATTTGGCTGTCTAACAGGGATTGGCTGAATGACCTTTGCTAACCTTTTTGTAGGCATGCAGGAGGAAGAATGAAATGACCCAAAGCCACCGAGTTTTTTATTTCAGCATTAGCTACTGCAGAAAGATAGTAGGCATGAAAAACTGTTGCATTATCTTCTATGTAATCAAGGCTCTGATATATTCTAGGAGAAAGAAAGGAAATATTTTAGGTTATGAAACAAACAAGACTGTATTCAACCTTTCAAAAGAATGAATAAGTAACTGGAAGTAGGGATATGATTACATTAAAGGATACATGTAGCCTGTCCTTTTTTAGTAAGGAAGGAAAAACATATGGCATAAGATAATACTTTCTGAGTAATATCTGGCACAAATATTACTTTGTATCTGGCACATCTTGGCTTTAGAGGGTTGGTTAATGACCATATGAACTGGAAACTTGATCTAAAATGGTAATGTTTACTGGGCATCAACAGTGCATTGAGCCAGCAGCTTTATCCATGGTCATTGCTATAAAAAGGGATCAATTAGTCCTGAGGTGAGGAGAGGGCATGCAGTCAGAGGAACCTTTACATATAGAAAGCAACATCTTTCCTATAGGTGGAGATAAGAAGGGCATTACAAGGAAAAAGAAAGGCATGCATGAAGGCACAATAATGGCAGTTTAGGTTGACTGGGCTATGGAAAGCATGAGAAAAACTGAGAAATAAACAAGGTAGGTACAGCCAAGATCTAAATCTGTTGTAAGTCGGCGGAAAGTGGGGGAAGGAGGGTGGTAGGACCCTGATCTGATGTCTGGTTTGTAAATGAAATCTGAGAGCCATATAAAGGGGGATCACAGGGAACAGATTCGAGGCACCGTAACGGCTTTGGAATTTACTGTGATAGTCCCTGCCAAAAGGAATTAAGGTGCTACTCAGTTAGTGGCAGTGAGGATGAAGAAGAATTGGTATTTGGCCGCTGACTGATTCCTGGCAGAGGGTTTGTT